ATATTTGTTCTGGATCATACTGGATACAAGTATGTATATTTGTTCTGGATCATACAGGATATAAGTATAAATATTTGTTTTGGATCATACAGGATATAAGTATAAATATTTGTTTTGGATCATACAGGATATAAGTATAAATATTTGTTTTGGATCATACAGGATATAAGTATGAATATTTGTTTTGGATCATACTGGATACAAGTATGTATATTTGATGTGTGAGATTTTGGCAAATTATAAAAATTGCAGTGATTGGTTGTTTTCCTGCGAGGGTCTATTCGTTTCCAAATTATTTTTGTAGTAATGTAACTTTTCATCATGTTGACCGCTTTCGTGCATGGTCTCGTGGTAGCTTGCTCGCCTTATAGGCAGAAGGTCGTGGGTTTGAAACCCGGCCAAAGATTCGAAAATGGTATTTGCTGCTTCTCCGCTAAACACGCGGCATTTAGGTGTAAGAGCAAAGATTGGTCGCCCGAGTAGGGTGGTATGCTTTCCTTGGGACTGTAAATTTGTGAACAAGTACACTAAAATCCGGCATCGCGTGTCGATCTGGCCCCTCGGTCATAAAACTTTACTCAGTTCTCGGAGTACAAAATTTGTGCTCGGAACACCAAATCCAGTATTTTGATTGGTTGATTTCTGAGTCTGAGTACAATAATCGTGCTCGAAAGTTTTATGACCGCAAGGCCTGGTATACATGCGTCATGTTCTCGTTCTGAATATGCATGTAATTTGCCACTGGACGTTAAACAGCCATCCATCAATTCCGTTATTTTATCGTGATTGATAATATGTCTGTGGAAATATGAAATGTCGCAATAATGCATCTGCCCTATATACTTCATTTTCATACAGATTTAAACACAGTTACAAAACCTGTTTGAAATAAAAAGTAACCTTCTCGCTCGTAACACAATTCTTCTATATTTAGGTAAATATCGTGTCAATCTAAACTATATTGTTACGTAAGTATGTATGTATACATGCTATAGAATTATGCCATGTGTTTGTATTACCGATCTGTATTGACTTTTTCCATCAAATTTATCGTTGGTATTTGAGGTAAACATTTTTACCAAATCCAAATTAAGTAGAAGTCTGATATAATTCTTGAGAAAAAATATTCAAACCTACGTAATCTTAATTCTAGACAAATTATACTAAATATGAAATATGGAGACTTGATCCAGACATTGGATAAATAAAAGTCTATATATAGTCGTATAATGCCATATGCTATGTAATTTGCATTCGTATTACACATTAGTTTATCTTCTCAGATATTTATGAAAGGTATTTTATGTTTTCATATTACAGACAGTCTGCGTTATATTCTGTTAGCGTTCAGGGTTTAAAATAGGAAAAAAATAGGTAAGATAAATAGGCCAAGGTAAATTTTTTCAAAAAAGGCATAGATAAGTTTTAAATAAAATCATATGATAAAGTAGAACATAGGTCAACAATGTTAGTTAGTATGTAGTAATTTATGGGAAAGTAGTTCGTGGTATGTTTAACATAGGTTAACATTGTTAGTTAGTATGCAGTAATTTATGGTAAAGTAGTTCGTGGTATGTTTAACCTAGATCATTATTGTTAGTTAGTATGTTCTTATTTATGGTATAAATGACAAGAACAACTGTTACAACATGTACAACACCTGTACTCTTTGTGAATATTTACCTCATCACTCTGGGTATACGTGGAATATTTGCCACTGGACGTTAACAAGTAGCAACATCGTGGGAGTTTACAGCTAGCTGTGGACGCCTGTATACGTATGATATTAAATTTTGCGCAAAATGTGATTTTTGCAATCGGCTAACAGACATCAACCTTATAACCCAAGCTAAGAAAGAGATACATGAGGAAGTCACTATACGACCTTTAATAATGTTTTTTCGGCATCACTGGAGTCAGTCGACCTCTTGTTGTCTGGTTTTATGAATTTTTTGTTTTGTTTCATTTGTTTTGGTTTTATGCTTGTTTTGCGTGGAGTTTGACCACACATCTCCTTTGTTCTTGTCAATTGATTATAATTCTTTACATTCTGCTAGTTGACTCACTACAACACTTTGAAAAGGACCTTTGAAATATTGGTATAAATATTGATTTTATTATCAGTAGATTAAAACCATACTAAATACTTTCACGGTACATTGTACTACAATCTGTCGATATCTATAGTTTAGCATTGCACAAGGTCATGTTTTTCTCTGACTGTTAATGACGCCTTTACACTAAATCCATTGGATGTTGGATGTGTAATGATTGATATTTTAGTCTTAGATACATGATTTTTTTTATTAGTTGTCATTGTCTTCGAACTAGCTGTCAGTACCTACAAGTACTCTCAGATCTGTACTGGTTGGTTTTTGGGATGTATGAGTACCCGTCCACGTCCACTCTGTGTTTTTGTTAGATGTATTTCTATTTGTATCCATCTGATGAGTTAAGCCTTTTTCAACTGATTGTTATAGTTTGTACTTATGTTGTACTGTTACACCTGTGTCCCAAGTTAGGGGGTGGGGGTTGAGCGCTCACTTACATGTTTAACCCCGCCACATTCTGTATGTGCCTGTCCCAAGTCAGGAGCCTGTAGTTCATTGATTGTCGTTGGTTCATGTCTGTCATATTTTTTTTTCTTAAATTTGTTTGTTATAAATTAGGCCGTTAGTTTTCTCAATTAAATTGTTTTATATTTTTCATGTCGGGGCCTTTTATGTCCGACCATACGGTATGGGTTTTTCTCATAGTTGAAGGCCGTACGGTTGCCTATAATTGCTTGCATCCACTTCATTTGAACTTTGGTGGATAGTTGTCTCATTGGCAATCATACCACATCTCCTTTATACTATATTTGAAAGTTTGTTTTCTACTACCTACAGCGAAGCATTTGTTGAGGTATTCCCAAAAACGTGTTTTGGAGTTCGTTATCAAATTACAGAGAAACGTTTGATGCTGTTTTTTCCAAAACATGTTGAAAGTTCATCATTCAACTTCAGAGCAGCATTTAATGTTGTTTTTCAAAAACTTGCTAGCAAATTCATTACAAATACAGAGAACCATGTGGTGTTGTTTTGCTCAAATCTTGTTTGGAAGTTTATCATCTAAATACAGAGATGTTTTTGGTGTTTTATTTCCCAAAACTTGTTTAAAAAAATCTAAATACAGAGAAATATTTGGTGTTGTATTTTCAAAAATTGTTTGCAAGTTCATTATAAATACAGAGCACCATTTGGTATTGTTTTGTCCAAAACTTGTTTGGAAGTTCTTAGTCTACATACAGAGATGTATTTCCCTAAACTTGTTTGCAAGTTTGTTATATAAATATTGAGAAGCATTAAATGGAAGTTTATTGCCTGCTTTCAAAGAGGTATTTGTTGTTATACTGCCAAAAAAAAAACTTGTTTGGAAGATTAATATCCATCTATAACGAGCAGCATTTGGTTTTGTATTTACCAAAACTTGCATGTATGGAAGCTTATTGTTTAAATACAGAGCAGCATTTGATGTTTTATTACACAAAAATTGCGTTAATGTTCATTTAATACCTGATTTCAAAGAAGCGTTTGGTGTTGTATTTCCTAAAACATGTTTGGAAGTTTTAAATACAGAGAATCTTTAGTTTTTCAAATTGGTGTTGCTTTACCAAAACTTCTTGTTTTCAGTTCGTTATGTGAATAAGAGCAGATATATTGCATAAAACTTGTTTGGAGTTTCATTATCTAAATACAGAGCAGCATTTGGTGTTGTTTTGTCCAAAATGTGTATAGAAGTTTATTAGCTAGATACAAAGAAACATTGGGTGTTATATTTCCCAAAACTTGTTTGGAAGTTAATGACCTGATAACAGAACAGCATTTGTTGTTATGTCCTTAATTTCTATTGACCTTTGATAATCATTAGACATGTATTATATTGAGTTATTTTTAACATGGAACATAATATTTAAATAAGTTATAAATAATGAAAAATTTTCCATTCATACTACAAATGTATCAGAGTATGCAGCCAGAAATACAAAATATATTTTATCTTGAATAAAGAAAAAATATTCACATTTTTTATACATAATTGAATCAATTTGAAATCTTAATTTTTAAAAGTTTGATTGAGCTCCAGACCTTTGGTCAATTAACTGTCTCGCTTGGAGTGCTCAATTTTTGTGGAGTAATGGTTAAAGTGATTTATTTCAATTCAATATGATATGTGTTCCTTTTGACTTAGTATATGTGATTTCCCTTTCAAGTTCGTTTCTTCTTATTCTTCTTTTAAATATTTCATGACATTTGGACATGATGTTTTAAAGGAGATTATTTTCTTTATATCAATCATATCATCGTGTTGCATCGTTAAAAACGAAACGCTGGTTCTTGTGCGATTGATGACACAGCTTTGCTATTTGAAACAAATTGATTGGATAAATGATTGCTAAGGTATCGAACCGACCATTCATCTTTTGTGGGGGTGCATGTCGGTTTTTTTCTTCTCGGGACAACCACGGGGTCAGGGTCACCTTTCGCAGTTTTAATGTTATATAATGAAAACAAAAAATCAGGTATGCAACATGTTTGTTTTATTAAATTTATATCTTGCAAGAATTCCCTTTAAAATATCCACGAAAAACGACGACGAATTTTAGTTGAAATGAGAAGCGTTTTTTGTCTTATTGCTGTAGCCTTTTAATAATGTGGATAATCGTTTTTAATGCATTTTTATCAACATGCAGTAAAATATTTTATACACTTGTGGTATTTAAAGAAATAATTTGATCTATTATCGTTTAGTACAGGATGTTGTAACACTGAAATTCATCCTGTTTTACATGAAAATAAAGGTCATGTATGTTTCTGATACCTTGTTGTTGTAATATTTGAATATTATTTGCTATTTTAAAAGAAAAGCAAAAATCATCATATACACCTTACTATACAATATATATATATTTCATAGGCTGTACTGCAGATTAATAAAACACTGTCTTTCTCAATTTGTAGATTCCGTGCAAGATGTGTGATGTCATTCCTACAGTTAACATCAAACAAGAGCATGATCCTATCGCGTCTTGCTGTGAATTTATCAATCCAAAAATAACTATTAAACAAGAACCGATTGAAAGAGACAATCTCACAAATGAGCAAAGTAATGGATCTGAAAATACTGTAAGCATAAGCGACGTAGATGACGAGGACGACGATGTATCTTCCCCATCCACTGAAGAATCGCCGACAGATTTCGATTGTTCAATAACCGGTGTAATCCTACCAAATATAGCTTTACCATTGTATCCAAGCAACATTCCAAGATGTGGTAACCGTCTAACAACAATAACATCAAAAAAAGGTTAGTAAACTAAATCATTGTACCCCATGACAACCGTCTAACAACAATAACATCAAAAAAAGGTTAGTAAACTTAATCATTGTACCCCATGACAACCGTCTAACAACAATAACATCAAAAAAAGGTTAGTAAACTAAATCATTGTACCCCATGGCAACCGTCTAACAACAATAACATCAAAAAAAGGTTAGTAAACTAAATCATTGTACCCCATGGCAACCGTCTAACAACAATAACATCAAAAAAAGGTTAGTAAACTAAATCATTGTACCCCATGACAACCGTCTAACAACAATAACATCAAAAAAAGGTTAGTAAACTAAATCATTGTACCCCATGACAACCGTCTAACAACAATAACATCAAAAAAAGGTTAGTAAACTAAATCATTGTACCCCATGACAACCGTCTAACAACAATAACCTCAAGAAAATGTTAGTAAACTAAATCATTGTACCCCATGACAACCGTCTAACAACAATAACATAAAAAAAGGTTAGTTAACTAAACCATTATAACCCATGACAACCGTCTAACAACAATAACATCAAACAAAGTTAGTAAACTAAACCATTGTAACTCATGGCAACCGTCTAACAACAATAACATAAAAAAGGTTAGTAAACTAAACCATTGAAACCCATGACAACCGTCTATCAACAACAACATCAAAAAAAGGTTAGTACCAATAATAACATAAAAAAGGTTAATAAACTAAATCATTGTAACTCATGGCAACCGTCTAACAACAATTACATAAAAAAGGTTAGTAAACTGAAGCATTGTAACCCATGACGACCGTCTAACAACAATAACATCAAAAAAAGGTTAGTAACAACAATAACATAAAAAAAGGTAAGTAAACTAAACCATTGTAACTCATGGCAACCGTCTAACAACAATTACATAAAAAAGGTAAGTTAACTAAAGCATTGTAACCCATGACAACCGTCTAACAACAATAACATCAAAAAAAGGTTAGTAAACTAAACTATTGTAACCCATGACAACCGTCTTACAACAATTACATAAAAAAAAGTTAGTAAACTAAATCATTGTAACCCATGACAACCGTCTAACAACAATAACATCAAAAAAAGGTTAGTAAACTAAATCATTGTACCCCATGACAACCGTCTAACAACAATAACATTAAAAAAAGGTTAGTAAACTTAATCATTGTACCCCATGACAACCGTCTAACAACAATAACATCAAAAAAAGGTTAGTAAACTAAATCATTGTACCCCATGACAACCGTCTAACAACAATAACATTAAAAAAAGGTTAGTAAACTTAATCATTGTACCCCATGACAACCGTCTAACAACAATAACATTAAAAAAAGGTTAGTAAACTAAATCATTGTACCCCATGACAACCGTCTAACAACAATAACATCAAAAAAAGGTTAGTAAACTAAATCATTGTACCCCATGGCAACCGTCTAACAACAATAACATCAAAAAAAGGTTAGTAAACTAAATCATTGTACCCCATGACAACCGTCTAACAACAATAACATCAAAAAAAGGTTAGTAAACTTAATCATTGTACCCCATGACAACCGTCTAACAACAATAACATCAAAAAAAGGTTAGTAAACTTAATCATTGTACCCCATGACAACCGTCTAACAACAATAACATCAAAAAAAGGTTAGTAAACTTAATCATTGTACCCCATGACAACCGTCTAACAACAATAACATCAAAAAAAGGTTAGTAAACTAAATCATTGTACCCCATGGCAACCGTCTAACAACAATAACATCAAAAAAAGGTTAGTAAACTAAATCATTGTACCCCATGACAACCGTCTAACAACAATAACATCAAAAAAAGGTTAGTAAACTAAATCATTGTACCCCATGACAACCGTCTAACAACAATAACCTCAAGAAAATGTTAGTAAACTAAATCATTGTACCCCATGACAACCGTCTAACAACAATAACATAAAAAAAGGTTAGTAAACTAAACCATTATAACCCATGACAACCGTCTAACAACAATAACATCAAAAAAAGTTAGTAAACTAAACCATTGAAACTCATGGCAACCGTCTAACAACAATAACATAAAAAAGGTTAGTAAACTAAACCATTGAAACCCATGACAACCGTCTATCAACAACAAAATCAAAAAAAGGTTAGTACCAATAATAACATAAAAAAGGTTAATAAACTAAATCATTGTAACTCATGGCAACCGTCTAACAACAATTACATAAAAAAGGTTAGTAAACTGAAGCATTGTAACCCATGACGACCGTCTAACAACAATAACATCAAAAAAAGGTTAGTAACAACAATAACATAAAAAAGGTAAGTAAACTAAACCATTGTAACTCATGGCAACCGTCTAACAACAATTACATAAAAAAGGTAAGTTAACTAAAGCATTGTAACCCATGACAACCGTCTAACAACAATAACATCAAAAAAAGGTTAGTAAACTAAACCATTGTAACCCATGACAACCGTCTTACAACAATTACATAAAAAAAGTTAGTAAACTAAATCATTGTAACCCATGACAACCGTCTAACAACAATAACATCAAAAAAAGGTTAGTAAACTAAATCATTGTACCCCATGACAACCGTCTAACAACAATAACATCAAAAAAAGGTTAGTAAACTAAATCATTGTACCCCATGACAACCGTCTAACAACAATAAGCTCAAGAAAATGTTAGTAAACTAAATCATTGTACCCCATGACAACCGTCTAACAACAATAACATAAAAAAAGGTTAGTAAACTAAACCATTATAACCCATGACAACCGTCTAACAACAATAACATCAAAAAAAGTTAGTAAACTAAACCATTGTAACTCATGGCAACCGTCTAACAACAATAACATAAAAAAGGTTAGTAAACTAAACCATTGAAACCCATGACAACCGTCTATCAACAACAACATCAAAAAAAGGTTAGTACCAATAATAACATAAAAAAGGTTAATAAACTAAATCATTGTAACTCATGGCAACCGTCTAACAACAATTACATAAAAAAGGTTAGTACACTGAAGCATTGTAACCCATGATGACCGTCTAACAACAATAACATCAAAAAAAGGTTAGTAACAACAATAACATAAAAAAGGTAAGTAAACTAAACCATTGTAACTCATGGCAACCGTCTAACAACAATTACATAAAAAAAAAGGTTAGTAAACTTAATCATTGTACCCCATGACAACCGTCTAACAACAATAACATCAAAAAAAGGTTAGTAAACTAAATCATTGTACCCCATGGCAACCGTCTAACAACAATAACATCAAAAAAAGGTTAGTAAACTAAATCATTGTACCCCATGACAACCGTTTAATACCAACTACATAAAAGAAAGGCCAGAAAATTAAATCATTGTAATTGTAAATTACTAATAAGATGAAATTTACAAATGCGTAAGCAACAACTATTCCTTCATTTTGAATTAAACAAAAATCACATTACGACTTTCATATTCGATTGCTTCTCCTAATCAAGTGTAAAATCATCCATTGATCTAGTCGGTGAGTACTTAAAATGCTGGTAATGTCTTGCATCCAATTTATAGAAGCCCTGTAGTTTCACTTTGTAGGTCTGTCCGTCAGCAATTTTTGTGAGACAAAACTCTACTATAAGTATGCCATCGTGTATGATTCGGATGATATTTGAACAGTTGTTTTATACGTACATAACATTTTGATATGCATTAATATTTGTTTATGAAAATTGGAAAATTAATCTTTGGAAGAACGTTTTAGAAACACATTAGGCCACTCCAAATTAATACCTCGTTCGTCGGATCCTCCGCGTGTTGTGAAAGGTCGATGACAAAAAAGTACTTTTTTTTAATAACCCGCGTCCAGTACGGAGCCGCGCGCGTCCGTCTCAAAATTTATGTAACAAAACTTTTAATGAGTTGTGCGTTTGAAAGTAACGCCGTACAGACACGGAAATTGACATCTAAAACGTTCTAGATCTATCATTCACAACAAAACCAACGTGTTTACAATATTTTTTAATGGCGAAATATATATAATTTGATATATAGTTTCAACGTAAGACATGTCAGAATGGAATATTCGTAGTTACAGTGCTCCGTGCAACAGTGCAAGACCATAAAGCACCGAGGCCACCGAATTGAAAGATTCAAATTATGACAATATAATATGCACAAGAATAAAAGAGAATCCCAAAGATGATGGTAGATGCATTGAAATAGCACCGCAATGAAACTATTATATTTTTTTTTATCTTTTAGAATAAAGGTTTTATTCCTTGGATTTTTTATTTATATTTGCTAGTATCATTACAAAGTTATCAATCATGGATTTGACTAGAAAGATTTTGTAATAATTGAATACAACACATCAATCCAACTTTACAATGTACAAAATCTTCTAAAAATAAGAATTTGTATGATTGTCAATGAGACAAAAAAACACCAGAGACCAAATTTGTTAAGGTTTGCAACCAGTATAGTTCACGGTATGGCCTTCAACACAGAACAATACCCCTATACATTTGTATACATCCAGCAAAGCAATAACTAACATGACTAAGTGGGATGTATTGAAATGTTCCTTTTGTTTAATCAGTATATGGCATCTGATTACTTCAAATGTAAGTAGTATAAATTGGTGGGTGCGAAATCACTCGCCCCAGAGACAAGTCGGACCATCAACAAAACAGACAACTTGGACCGTCTATGAAGACAATTCGGACAGTATATAAGTCAACTCGGACCGTTTATAATGCCAACTCAGACAAATTATAAAATTAGAGTTTTTAACATATAAATGATTTAATGAAAAAGACTGTGTCTGAAGAGAAGGACAGTCATTTATAATTTTTTAGCTGGTTGTAAACACAAATATGTATAGTTGTATAGAAAAGCTTTATACATGCATATATGCTTTGCATACTTTTATTTGAAACAACATACCATTCTATATGTGCCCGTCCCAAGTCAGGAGCCTGTAGTTCACTGGTTGTCGT